ATACCTTAGCAAGCATTGAGCAATTTCTTAGTGTGACTCATTTATTATGATTCTCAAAGCCCTTAAAATCCTTAACAAAAATGGAAGAAAAGGACCGAGGAATTACTTAACTCAAACCTGCCAATGAAAACATCCTATTCCACAAACATAAAGCAATACGACAACACAAAAAAAGATGATTTAACGCTTTCACCATCTCCATGACACATAATACATCATTGTGGAGAAAAACAAATTTGAGGTCTTCTCCTTTGAAACAAATCATTAGTATTGATCTTACCATGACAAATAGTCCATGCACAATCCTTCACCATAATTGGTATTTTAGCCATCCAAATCATCAAAGACGGGAGAAAAAATGAACAAGAAGGATCATCAATCAAATATTCAAAGAATGATTTATACAAAAAACATCCGGAAGACTCAAGCCTCCATCTTCTTTTATCAAGCAACTCTTGATCTATATGAACTTCATTGAGTAAGAAAAGAAAAGAAACCAAATTAATAATCTCTATCATTTAAATTTCTATGAAACCCAAGATCCCAAGATAACAAATTTTAACGCGATCAAATCAAAGAAATAATATATATATTGTGAACCCGAGATACCCGATAGTGACGAGGAAACAAAACCGACAAAGAAAGTCCCCCTAACCAAACATCCTCCCAAAAATGAATTTTCTCTCCATTTCCTACAACAAAACTGACATTGAGAGAAAATTGAGGTACATCATGAGATATAAATTTCCAAGGGCATCAGGAACTTCCCCTTTTAGCCCCATTAGCATCTCATCATTAGATTGCAAACCATATTTGCTCTTGATAACCGTATGCCACAGAGAATTTTGTTCTAAAGGAAATCTCCAAAGCTATTTTCCAACTAAAGCCATATTTCTTACTTTCAAATCTCCCACTGAAAGACCCCCTTTATCCTTAGATCTGAAGACCATTTTCCAATTAATCAAATGATCTTTTTTTCCTTCTCCACTCCTTTCCCACAAAAAGTCCCTTAGCAAATCTTATGAACAACTCGATTTCGCATTTTAAAAAGAGAAAAGTATATGAGAATACTAGACAAAATTGATTGGACCAAAGTCAATCTATCCCTTTGGGAAATAAAAGTTGTCTTCCACCGATCTAATTTCTTTCCCACTTTTTCAATATCAGGGTCCCAAAAAATCAAGGATAATAGATTCCCACCCAAAGGAAGACCAAGATACTTAAGGGGCCATTCTCCCACTGAGCACCCTAAAATATCAGCCAACCTATTAACATTCTCTGGAATGGAATTTATACTCACAATTACACTCTTTCCTAAATTCACTTTCAAGAAACAATTTCAAACAAATCCAAAAGTGCCTTGAAATTAAGAAACTTTTCCTCCTCTCTTGAAGAAAAGAAAATGATGTCATCTGCAAATTACAAATGTGACACTGAAACCCTCTCTCTTCCAACCACAAAACCTTCTACCATACCACATCCTTCAACTCTCATTATTAATCTACTCAACCCATCAGCCACCAAAGTGAAAAGAATAGGCGACAAGAAGTCACCTTGTCGTAACCCCCTAGAGCCTTTAAATTTTCCCCGTGATTTACCATTAATCATCACTGAAACATTCATTGATTGAAAGCACCCTCTAATTCATCTCCTCCACCTATGCCAAAAACCGTTCATCTCCAACACAAATCCAAAAAATACCAATCCAAATAATCATAAGTTTTCTCAAATCAATTTTAAACACGAAGCCCTCCTCCCCTCTAGATCTATAATCCTCCACAATCTCATTAGCTACATTAGCTACAAGAGGAACATCTAAAATTGGTCTTCCTTTAATAAATGCACCTTGATTAACAATAATGGTCTCACCAAGAATCTCTCTTAATTTCATAAATAACACTTTTGCAACAATCTTATAAAGACTTGACACAGACTAATCGGCCTAAAATCCTTAATCCTTAACTTTCAAAGATCTTTGTTTTTTTGGTATGAGACAAATACATGAAGCATTGATAACGGCATTAACCACACCATTATGAAAAAATTCTGCTAACATTTTCCTCAAAATCTTTTTTAATGACTTCCCAACTATCTTGATAAATAGTCATGGTAAAACCATGCATTCCCAGGGCCTAATCCAAACCTTCCAATATAGGCTTAGAACAATCTTGATATAAATATAAATTGGCAAAGAAATGAATAATTTCATCCTCAATTCTTCCTTCCTCTTCAATTATTTCTCCATTATCTAACTCCAACTTATGAATAAATTTCTTTTTCTTCCTTCCATTTGCCACTATGCAAAAGTTTGGAATTATTATCACCTTCCTTTATCTCTTTAACTCTTGTTTTTTGTCTCCAACGTATTTCCTCCTTGAAAACTACGTCCTCAAATTTATTCCTTAATTCACATCTCTCAATCCTCATATTCTAACTCAAATTTCCACCTTCTTCAAAACTATCAATTTTCATAATTCGTTTCAAGATTAAACTCTTTTTAATAACCCAAAACTTCAATGTTCCACAATTTCACCTTTTGTTTCAAACAATCTAATTTTCTCATAAACTTATATCCTTCACATCCATGAAAATTATCTTCAATCCACCATTACTTAAATTGGCCTCTAAAATTATGATGCTCCAACGACATGTTCTCAAATCTAAAAGGACATGGACCCCAGCTAATAGAGGATGTATCACGGATAATGAGACAATGATCCGAAATCACACTAGGTAAAGCCTCGTGCCTAAAACCCATATAACACTCCTCCCATCCTACTGAAAAAAAGAAATATATCCAGTCTATTACAGATGCACACATTCTTACTCCCGCTTATATTATAACTCAAATCCAAAACGTCTAAATTACAATACAACCACCTTAACGTTAAACTAAATATCACCCTTACCTTCACATTCCCCATATTGAAACCCATTTTTTAATGCCCAAAAAGACAAGAAAGAAAACCAAAACAAAACATTTATGCCCCTGAGCAGAAGTGTAGCATACCATGCGTAAATTAAACCTGGCAAGACTTGCAGAATCTAAAGCAAGCAATAGAGCTAATAACAAACAACGTTAGAGCTTTTATAAAATCTCAAAGCACTTCAATTGGATAACAACATGCAGACCTATTGAAAGATAACAGTATCGTGAATTTCAACAATGTAAAGAGAACATAATACTAGAAAAGTATAAATTATAGAAGTGTAAAAAAGCATTTACGAGGCAGCAAGCTTCTTTTAAATTTTTGATATCGCCTGAATCAAAGCACAACCAAGTCAAAATAACAACTCCACACACGAGTCTGAATCTGTAAAAATCACGTAGATTTACTCGACCTGGTAACGATGATGAAAAGGAATCCAAATTCAAGTAATTCGGTTGTCACACATAGCATTTTACCACCAGAATTGAACCACTAAAACAACTCGTAAGGTATTTAATAACAATTTCCAAGAAACTAAAATAACTATGCTACTCAAAAAAGTTTTTAAAATTTTAATAAAGAATTGCAAGAGAACCATTTGGATGCCAATGGAACAAGCGACGGCTTTGAAGCCCCCCTAGGAAACAAAGTGGAAATTTCAGTACAATATCAAAGAGGAAACATAATTCTATTCAATAAGACACAAGGGAAAAAATGGATAATTTAGATACTTTCTTCAAAACGACAAGTTACCCAGTTACATATATAATGCAAGTATATCTCCATAAGCAAAATATATATGTTGAGCAAGTAAACAGTTTCACATGCCCACAAAACCAAGTCAAGTTGCCCATCATCATCATTTTTCGATCTTCAAAATAACAAGACTATACAAAGCAAAGACCTACTTTTCCACATTTGTGTGGTTTCAAACCAAGCAGCTTCTATTTGCATCAAACAATTAGGTCAAACAGATTAGAAATTAACAAAGCTCATTTTCTCTTGTTATCTTTAATCTCATTAGCAAAGAAAGTCAAAAAAATACCCCATCCATACAACACAAGTGATCCACAACATACACACAACTCCACTTCACTAAATCTTGTTCCAACTATTTGGGGTCGCTAACATGAATTCTGCTTTGTTACCATGTTCAACTGAAGTCAAGTAAACCTCGTCTTAACCATTTGGGAAAGGTTACATGAACAATTTTTGACAGCCATCTTTTTATGAATATTGATATGCATGATATATAATCCACTACCAGCAAGCTCCAGCAAAGGTAATGATATTCAATATACATATAACGGTTCTGTAAAGAAATGGGATTAAAAAAGTTTCGTTCGTTGGGTATTTCATACCCTAGACTGTTGCCATTTGAAATTAGACTCAAAATGATTTCCTTACGACCACAAAAATGATGAGTGCTGAAAGCACAAAGCATATTCGTCACTTTGTTCTAGGAACTAAATTTCGTTTCATTTCAACCCAAACTAATCAGTAATTACGTACCGAAAATCCTATGTTTCTAAGGTGTTTCCGAATATTTCGACATGCTTCAGTATGTTTCAATCAAAATTTTAAAAACAAATTTTCAATTTTTTCTTTGTTTCCAAATATTCCGAAATGTTTCCATTTTCCCATTGATTGAATCTATACATTAAAACAAAATTTCGATCATTGGTCATGTATAGTCATAAGAAAAAGAAATGACAAAGGATGAATTTCAAAGAACACTTAATATTCTACTCATTCAAAAATATTGTCATCAATAAAGCACATAGAAGATTTAGTCTATGCAAGGCTGCTTCAGACCCGAGCTTCCATAGGTCACCATCCTTTTTCTGGGTATTTTGTTTTTGTTTTTGTTTTTTTTCTCCTGCCGGAGTGGGGTGTCCAATCTTAATTATATTTGGTAAGGGACCGAGTAAATTGTGGTGTTGAAGAACTAACGTGATTGTTGAAAAACTACAAACAGCTCATTCCATATCCTGCATGTCTGAGAAACAAAGAGACATAAAGCCAGGGAGGGAGAAAGTAATTTAAAGCACACGCAATCAAGGATGCCACCAAGAGACATTGGTCAATCTTTTATTGAACAAGTTTCTTTCATTTCAATTCAATACACTAATGTAATACAATGAAGAATGTTTACCTCTTAGAGGTGTGAATTGTCCCGTATCCCAGGAAGCATATCGCTGAACTGGAATGATTTGGTCCTGACTTTAAATAGATAGGACTTCCAGAAAAAATTCCATTTTGAGCAAAATCTAGGTAACAAAGAATTGTGAATACATGGGAAGGGGCATGGAAGAAAATTTGCAAGCTCCTCAGTTTTTCCTATAACGAGTGCCAATTTTGATGCTGTTAATGCTGATAAAATTCATTCCCGGCATTCTTCAGTCCAGTGCTTGACTCCTCTAAACAATAAGGCCCTTTGAATTCATTTGCAGTATTCCCTACACCTGTTCCATTTCTTGGGTTGTTTCCCACAAACCCCCACCCATTTCTATTCCGGATCCAAGGGGGTGCCGGTTTTGAGTTATTCCACTTCTGCTGCCTAAAGTATTTCCTTCCCAAACTATAACAGGAGCCCCTTACTTGTTGAAAATTGTTTTGGCAGTTCGCAGTAGGAATTTCAGCATGAGGAGGGCCCACACCAGATGTGCTTGGAGCATTCTGATCCGAGTGAGAAACAACAGGACTATGGCAGCCTGGTCTAGTTTTTTCTGCAGGTTGACTCATTGTCACAGGGTTAGCAGCACAAGGAAAAGGATCTCTCTTGTCACGGGGATATGGAGGCAATGGTGGGAAAGGATGGAAAGGCATGCCAGGAGCAACAACCCACCCCTCAGCAGGTTCTGCTTGAGGTGTCCCAAATTGCTGCACAAGGAGCAACGGAATTCCATATGAGACAGACAAGTGTGAAATGAATCTCTCTTGCAGATACCCAGTCACCACTTCACATGGGCCACCCTTCACTTTTTCTTTGTAGTAACCAAGAGTAGATGAAGCAGTGTTAGCTGGAACCAACCGGCCATTAAGAGGAGGAGAAAATCCAGGAGGAACATCCTCATCAATGTTCTGCCTTGCATTATTTGTGATATTAGTTTCCATTTGAAGAATCCTTGGTTCCTTGTGTTGAGATCTTGAATTTGGGTTGGCCTCTACTGGCTGATCCCATCGGCTTTTACGCTTGCGTATCTTTGTCCCATTGGTTACGCAGCCACTACTGCACGATACAGAGCAGTCCCCATCAGCTGCAGTTGCTGCGTGAAATGATTGGTTCACGCAATCTATTGCTTCTGTAGGTCTTCCACCGTGGTCACAGCACAGATGGTGTGATGCCAACACTCTATTGCAGTTTGAATCACGGTGAAATTCCATCCTTCCATCATCCCTCTCTTTGCAGTTATTTTTTCGGAGATGTCGAGGGATCCACCTATCTCGGAAGTTTCGTGCAATTTGATGAACCTGTTGTGCAGTTAAAGAGAGAAGACTCAAGTCGTCAACAAGGGGAGTGGATTAAAGTGATATACTAGCATGGCTGCAGAAGATGTGCACTATGTGATCAGGAAAGTGGGGGGGAACTAATGCACCTAACATAAACAACTTATCATGTCAAATAAGAAAAGAAAAACACTTTTCAACCAACAAGCACACACTATTATTTGCAATTATTTGCAATTTGAAGAGATAACTAATTTGACTATAAAGAGCAAACCCACCACAAGAGGGAGATCAAACCCAAATCTTATTTCTAGCTGATCCACTTGAAGGCAACCGACCAAGAAATCTACCAGCCCAAACACAGCAGGAAAAATGGGTTGCTGAGGACAAGCATCAAAGCTAGCCATTCCCAAAAGAAATAACTCTTTAATCATTCCGAAATTAATCATGCTGCCACTAAAAAAAGCAGTCTCTTTCCATAAAAGTTTAAAGTTCTTGGTAAAAAGGAGACAGTAAAAATCCTTTGAAGAAGAGTTTTTTTATATCTAAATTCAAATGATTCGGCCAGAAATATTAGTTGATGAAGCTTGGATACTCTCAAGAAGGATAAGCATCCGTCTCCGACGCATGTCAGACCGATACTCCTCAGATACTCTTGGACACATGTTCAATACTCTTTTATCCGTGTCCATAATTAAATAATTTAATTTAATGTCGAATCGTATCATTGTATCATTTTTGCACTGTATTGTATGATACACAATACGATATGTATCGTCTGATACATACGATACATGAAGATTCTATTTTTTAATTTTTTTTTTGGCTTTTTTGGGGCTAAAACAACATCGTTTCACCCGGGACTTATTTTTTAGTACCTAGCCGGTGAAATGACTTTGTTTCAATGGTTAGGGTTTAAAAAAAAATTAAGTTTGTTGTTAATGTTGTTCAATTGAATCAAAATTCCTAATTAATGTGAATGTTGCTCAAATAGTTGATGTTAAAAGTTTAAATTAAAGATCTTTGCATTTTGATATTAGTGACCTATATTGGAAACTTGAAAAGTTTGTGAAATATTAATGAAATACTATATTATTATGAGTATATGGCTTTTATGCAAAGGTATATGTATTTTATTAATAATTATTTAAAATTACGCGTATCTTATGATACACGATAAACTATCTTTGAAAAACGATACACCCTCCCGATATACGATTTGACAACTATAGTGTCTACTACTAACTAATAAACATGTGTTGACATGTGACTTACAAAGCTTTAAAAAAGTATCTTATGCTATACCAACACTAGACATATTAAAGTGGTACTCAAAATTAGAGGTGTCAATTGTGTCGGGTTAAACGGTTACATGTCGAGTTAAACGAGTGACGAGTAAAAAACATATAAACCCATACACGACAAGTTTAATAAACAGGTAAAAAACTTTAACATGAACTCGAACACAAACTGTTTAATAAACGAATAATACGACATGATTCGTTTAACCCATTTAACTCAAAATTTAGATATTGACCCAAGATAAAACCCCCAAGCTTTATACAGTGCTGACCCAAAAAACACTAAAAGTGACTGTCTTGACTTCTGAGCTGAGACAGTCTCACGTGAACTGCTTGAACATAGGAAACTATAACAATTTATAGACATGAGATGCTACTAGCATCTCATGTCTATTCGATGTGGGTTACTGGCAAAAAAATGCCTTCCAAAAAGCACTGTGTTGTTGCCTTCTCAAGAGTTGTGTTCAAGATGAATTAATAGTGAAATAAATTTAAATATTTTATCATATATTTTTGTATAAAATTTATTTTTTAAATTATATTTTTTTAATAACTTTTATATATGTAAATTTTATAAAACTAACAATCTAACAATTTTAGATGGCTTATATATTTTTTGTGGTTGACACTAAAAATAAAAAAATTATGGCTAACTTTTTTTGAAATAATTATTAATTTATTATTATATTAAATATATTTAAAAGGGTGATAAACGGGTTGACAAATTTCACCCGAACACAACCCATTTATTAAACGTGTGTGACGGAAGAGTCAACTAGTTTACCACCCAAATCCGTTAAAATTTCACACAAACCTGTTTAATTCATGTCGGTTAATCGTGTCGTATCAGACTTTGATAGGCCTACTCAAAATATAATAATAAAGGCAAAACATACATAAAAGTTTTAAACAAGATAAATTGAGAAAATAAGAGCAATCCTTTAACTAGCGAGCATGTCTAAGTTCTTAACAAATATAAAAAAAACACTTTTCAACCAACGAGCACGTACTATTATTTTCAATCTATAATATAAAACAAAACAAACTTTAATAAATTTATCCAACGGTCTCAAATAGACTCATCCAACAGCCACCAACATCTCTCTCAAGAATCTAAGTTTACGTTGCAGCGTGTCTTCACGCACGGGTTATCCCTAGTTGTTTGCATATAATACACAAAATTTGAAGAGATAAATTCAACGATAAAGAGTAGCCCACCACGAGGGAGATCAAACCCAAATCTTATTTCCAGCTGATAAGGGAAACTCCTTTCAAGGTCAACTGACCAAGAAATCCACAGCCCAAACACAAAAGGGAAAATGGGTTGTTAAGGACAAGCATCAAACCTTTCCATTCCCAAAAGCAATGACTCTTTCATCATTCCATAATTAGTCTAGTTACTACCAAGAAATCAGTCTCCTTCCATGAAATTTTGAAGTTTTCGGTAACAAGGAGATGGTAAAAATCCTTTGAAGTGGAGTTTTTTTGTTATTCTAAATTCAAAAGATTTGGTCAGAAATATTAGTTGGAACCATCAACAAGCAATCCAATTAAAAAAAAAAAAGATGAATGAAACGATTCTTCTACCATCTCTATAGGCTTCAATCACCCAGCTATTTGAGGTGTGCCTGAGAGTACAATCACAATTGATTGAGGGCTTCTCTCAAAAGCCTATCGAACATAACCCTACTTCTGGTGTAACTCTCTGAAATCTGGGTTACTCAGAACCCAGTATTACAATTGATTTTTAGATAGCATGTTGGCAGATACAATTATGTCGGCTTCAGAATTGCATGAAATCGAGCTTATGATAAAGCACTGATTGTTAACTAATTCAGAAGTATTTAGAGGGGCTTGCATCAATGATTGAGATCAAATTCAATATGGCAACTTGATGGAGCTGATTTTCAGCAGTTCAAAAATGTGGCAATATAGACCACTGTTGGTTGAAGATTTTTCATCGTCAATCCATGTCTATGGAAAAATCAAAAGAGTTCATCAAGTGCAATCAAATGGGTTCTTGTAGTCCTGGTTCTCTTAACCAAAGGACTTACCAAAAAGTATGTTACAGTGGGGCAGATTACCTTGCTTGGGGAGGAAACACAACTGTTAAGTCTTCATACCCTCCCTGAAGTGTAAGGAACTTCTTATGTTTTTGTTATGGACCTCGTCTTTCAGAACTTGCTTTCTCTAGTTAAAAAAAGTTCTATCACCAAACATTTTACTACATCTTATTCCTTTTTTGGTCAACTGTATAGTCCTCCACCCTCCACCCCCAACCCACAAGAAAATCCCCAAATAAAAAAGAAAAGAGAGGCAGAAAAATAAAAAATTTGGAAACGAAGGGGGAAAAAGAAAAGAGAGAAGGTTAAGGCATGTGAATCAATCTTGTTCGCAAAATTCAGGGAAACAATAGAGATGACCGATATTGACAATCTTTGAGCCTGCAAATATTTGATAATCTAAAAGACACACAAAAGAAAAAAGAATTAAATTTCAACAAAACCAGATAATTTCTGTTTCCCTTTTCTGATTTGGACTGTACCAATTCATCTTGAACCAAGATATGTACTTCAAAAGCATATATTAATTCAACCCCAACAACATACCATGCATAAGAAGTCAGCTTATAGATAGTACCTTCTTGTCGGTGTGTTCTGTCAATGTGAGCATCGACTCCTTAAAGCTGCATAGAAACATACCTTTTACGCATATTTAAAGAGAGAATAATTTATTGCAAGAACTGAGCATTCAAAAAGAGAACAAATAAATTTAAAAGTGAAAGAATAATTGCAGCAATCATGTGGTCACCAAAAAAGGATTCAGCTAAAGTCTGTATAGACAAATTTGAGGCTTTGAGTATGTTGTAAGTTTGTTATGGTGTAGTGTACTTGAGCACCAATTCTATAGCACCATATGGTTCTCTCATAATGTGGGTAAGCCTTGGGAGTATTAACCACCAATATTCCCTATTTTCCATTCTATCCTGCTTCTTATTATGAAAACAGTGTTTTTCCATGGAGTCACCGCTGTGTTTCTCCATTCTTTTTCTTCTCCTTTTCTTTTCATAGAAAACAGAGAACTCAATAGAATTAGGAAGAAATTTCCTAGTATGAGGAAGTAAAAGTAATGCCACAATTCAAAATTAGAAGAAACATCCATCCCTAAATCCATTGAGGCCCACTCCAGAAATAATTTGACCATGATGAGAAACCTGAATCACCCTTCATAGAGACAGTGCAAATACATAGTCAAGAGTCCATGAATCATAGGTAAGTTTTCATTCCTCAGATTCAGAGAAGACAAATCACAAACATCCCAAGAACCTAACACGGAACTCTACTGAATTTCATGCAACATGTAATTACCTCAGTAGAACATATAATTTTCTAAGTCTTAGAGACACATTTAATTTTAAAGCACCACCACAAAACTTTTTAAATCATTCAATCAGTAAAATATAGGGTTCCAATGGTCCAGCCATGGCGCCCGCTCCTTGGCTTCATTTTGGCTTCAAAAGAATTCTACTTTTTGCTATTTTAGGGAGATGCAGAGTTTCATATCACTTATAGGCTTCTCATGCATTTTTTCTCTTTCTTCTCCTTGCTACTTTCTAATTCTTTAATGGATTTCTTATCCAACCTTTTTTGATGTACTTTTCTATCTTTATTAATACTAGAGTTCTGTTTCCTATCAAAGAAATTACAAGGTTAACAAGTACTTCATTTCCTACTCTACTGCTTCTAACAACCTATTTATACATAGCACTTTGACCCTGTGTCTCACAATTTACACTAGAGGTCCTCATAAACAAGCCAGCCAATCCTAAATCCCAGGGCCACGGAAACCAAACAAAAGAAGAAATAATGTATACATGCTGTAAACAGAGTCACAACCAATTCGCAATAACATGTCTTTCTTGATAGCGACGGAAAGCTCCCATAGGTGGCACGAGACAAGCTGCCAGAGCATTGTACTATAAATGATTGGACAGTAAAATTAAGTTGGTGGTGGACAGAAGTTAATGACACGATTTTGGCTCATTCCATGTTTCAAATTCCCATTTTCAAGTTTGGTTAAATATAGAAACTCTGAAGCATGATTCTTTTTGTATAAAAATGTGATTTTGACAAAGTCTACGAAAATATTAACTGAATTTAAGATTTACAAGCACAAGTTTTGCACATTACAAGATTATTCAAAAATCCATTTCTTGCTGAATTTTGAATTCGAATTTTTCTATATGTACACAAACATTCTGAATTACCAGGCAAATTCTTTTGTCCACCCATGCTATATCGCTTTCTCGATAGATAGGAATAATCAACTAAAAGCACCAAGGAGGTGCAACTCAAGTAGAGGTCAAGTTTACAAGGATCAAAAAGATCTCAAAAGGTCTTCGATTTCTGTCCGGTTTTTCTATTCAATAATCTAACTATCAAGGAATTAAATTTTGGAAAAAATGCACACAAATCTTGAACTTCAATTGATACAGGTTCATCATACTGTGATACAGGTCCACAAAAGCTGATTACAATTCGAATTATTGAATCTCTATTTGGATACAGCCTCTTGTTTTCTGGAGGTAATTCGATATAGCTTCAATAAACATTCTGTATTTAATTAACTGCTTACTTTATCATAGTTCAATTGGAGCCAAGTAAAGTCGCCAAAATTTAGGTTTCACCTTTCCATTGCAAAGTGCATCAAATGTGCTAGCAGTTTTTGTTAAGTCATTCATTCCGTATAAGAATAAGCCTCTATAAAATCCCACATATTGGTTTTGGAGAATTATTAGTTATGAAAGCAAAATTACTATCTATACAGCAGACCGATAAATACGGCACGTCCACTTATATATATAATTAGCAGATTCAACCTAGAGAAGATGCATAAATTTCAGCAAACCAACACTGAATACTGGAAGGGAGAGATCACAGCAAACAAGTCAAGCAGTTCAAACAAGAATATGTGACAATTAGCCTAACCTCTCCACTCCAGGACGAGGGGGACCTCCATTAATGTGCTCAAATGTAAGTATTTCCCTCACAGCCAAATATTCTAAGATCTGCATAAAAGAACAATGAGCGGCATATTTTACTTCTTTCATATACCTAATGATAACTAGCATAATAAAAACCATTCATGAAGATCTAGCTAGAAACATAGATCTAGTAAATAATAAACCAAAAGGACTGGCCTGATTGACAGGACCGCGTAAACCAATTAAGGACTGATTTGAACTTCGTTAACTGAAATCAATTTGATGACGTATAAAATGGGTATGATTCCAACCATTCGCTCAAGTATGTCCGACCATTGACAAATACTATGTATTGTGCTAACATAATATCCTAAGTCAAATTGGCTGCTGGGTTCATCATACATAATATAAGGATTGGCCAGGTTGAGTGAAAGATTTCCAATCCATCGTAAGTGGTTCTTGAACCCACCCAAGCCTATAAATTGCCAGCTATGTCCATTGTTACAGCAATTCCAGAATGTTCACACATCAAGTCCCAGTACTATCTCAAACTGATTTGTTTAATGATTAGGGATAACAAAATGTAGGTATATTAGAGAAGTATAAGGTCCCCTCTACACATACCTTCACAAGCTTTCGAAGAATTGGAATCTTATAGAATTCCCTTCTGTACTGCTTCATTATGTTGTGTAGCATTTGCAAACCTAAAAAGCAAAGCAGAAGCCATAGCACAAACAACTGTAATATAATTTTGTGCTACAACAAAAAAGGAAAAATCTAGAGCCATGCAGCAAAACCAAGAAAAACTACCATTCTTATTGATTACATCCACCAAAACTGTTCGTGATTTTGTTTTCAGAAGTGCATCAAGGATCATAGAAAGTTCTCGATTGCTGCAAACAGATGGATACTAAATCAAATAAACTGTTCATTGTAAAACAAGAAGTATCGGATCAAGTAAGCAACTTCGTGGTTAGGAAGACTAATAAACAGAGAGCAACATCTAAAATAACCTCTGAATTGCTTCACCATTGCCATTATCCCCTGAAGCTGCAGTTAGAAGAAGAAGCTTCAAGTAGCCTCTGGATGCATCCTGTTTGAAAACAAGAAGCATTATAACGAGGAACAGATGTAAACATACAAACCAGTGCAAGAAGCATGAAATGCAATTGCAAGCGCAGCAATATTAATTATTTCAAACAAAGAAAAGACATGCTTCAGAAAAACTCATAAATGGCGACGAGAAAATTGAAAAACCAGACAGTGAAGTTGATTGAATAAAAGGACTGTCAAACACTATTGACCTTTTGTGTAAGAACAATCATTGGTATGCAGTACTCCAGTGAAAGCAAAACATGATGATAGGAGATGACAGAAACCACAGAAAGAAGCATGATGATTACACTGATGCAACAAGAAGACTTACTTTAATGTAAAAAATAAGAGAGAGAAGGGGAACCAAGCAACGATAAGATGCATACATAAGGGCAGAAAAATGGGAGGCACACAGCATACAACTTCTGTTATTTGGAAAATTAAATCTCAGAAATAAATAGAAATCTAAAAATGTTCCAATACTCCAAGAGGAGGAAGTTCTTACTTTCCGTTTGCTTATTCCCCCATCAGAATCTAGCAGCTCATTCAGTTTCTCCTGAACTGCAAGCATTGATGGTCAAAAATAATTACAGTAGGCAGGACACAGTATACCCAGGGAAAATAAGAGAGAGAGAGAGAGATAGAGAAAGAGAATCATCTACCTGCTTCAAAACGGTCATTTAAAGAACCTTCCAAAAGTTTTTTGGATTTGAAGGGTAGCACATGTGGCCTGCTGTCCATATTCGGAGGTTTGTTGGCATTCGTGGCATTAATCTTTGTTTTTCCCTTCTTAACAGAAGATGATGAGCGAGAAGTTTTCATGCGAGGATAGGATTTTGAGAAAACATTCCTGTCTTCCTCAGTGTCAGGTTTGGACTCCTTCTTAGTATCATTTGTATCAGATAATGATTTGTCATGCATTGTGGTCAGAGCAGAAGCCTCCAATCTTTGAACTGACAAGGAATTCTTTGTACATTTCTCTGCCACAGAAACTTTTCGCTGAGCTGCAGACATGGTCTCACTCATTACATCATCTGGTTGTGGAGAAACTACTATTGGTTGAACAGAAATTGGCAACTGTTCCTCTGAGTCCTCAATCGCAGCACTGTCCCATTTTGAAGCAGCAGATGCAAATTTGTTTGGGGCGTTTTCCTTTGTAGTTGTAATCTTCTTGCGTCCAACAGCGGCAGCTGAGTTATCTGTTTCATCATTCCATTTTACCAAATTTTCTCTGATATGCATTTTTATGGTAGTCTCCAATTGTCTGAAATCAGTTGCAGGTTCAGGCAATTCATCTTCATTTTTCGATGAATTCGCTGCAGTTTGCATATTCATACCATCAAAGGAACTGGTTGCTCGTATTACATTGTCCAAGTTCTCATCTGTTTTACCATCTTCACGGACCATAATAGGTTCTGGATATTCTTCATCTGAATCACTCTGAACAATAACTTCAGAATTTCGTGGATCACCACCTATATAGCCCCGGCATTGAGATGACCCACAGACACATTTTTTGGCAGCTGCCCCAAACACCCGTACATAATTGTAATCAAATGTCACCTCTTCACCCTGACACGAGAACTTCCAATCATTAGTGCACAAAATGTAATGATAATGCTTCTAATCAGTCAAGAGATAGAAAAATACAGACAACGTTTGAAAAAAGATGTAGATCATTATATATGCTGCAAGACACAATTCCATCAAAGGTTTTGGCTTCGCATCTTTGTGTTAAGCAACAATGAAACTTGAGGTCAAGTACCTCCAGTAAGAGAAGATTACTGCTCCATATTTGAGAAAAGAGCCACAACCAATATAACAAAGGAGTTGAGAGGAGATTACTGCTCCATATTTGCCACAGGACCCACAACGGATATGCAGACTTGATTATGCAATTAATTCAAATAATCATGTTATACTAAGAATTCAAGTAAATGCACTATAGTATTGAACAATTTGACAACTTCTAATTTCAAAAAATAAACCGAGGATATTTATTTGTTAACAAATAGGGAAGAACTTATTTTAAGATACAACAGAAGACCCCATAAAGGGCGCATTTCCAGAAATGGGAAGACCCCAAAGAAAACTAAAAAATTGGAAATAATGTACTAGATCTCTCTCTCTCTCTCTCTCTCTCTCTAATCTCTTTTATCCTATCAATGCTTGTGTATAATCATTTCCTCCTCTTCTATTATGTTCTCATTTCAATCTTCTCCCCATCTCTCTCATCTTTCCCATCGCCTAATATCTCTTAAAATATTCATCCTCGCCTTCACCTTTCTCATCTTCCCTCTGGTTCTCCATTTTGTTTCCTTCATTTCCTCAAGACAAAATAATAATATCTTTTAAGAACCGTATGATAAGCTCCATCAGAACAATGCTAATATGATATCTTGAACATCTTTTACTACTTTTGATTTTTGTCACCCATGTCTCATCTAGAATACAAATCATGATTTTGCCACCTTATTTGAAAAATCCTGGAAATCAGACCAAGCTCTACTTCAAATTATGATGAATTCAGTTTGACACAGGAAGTCAACTTAATACCGTTACATCTCTATGCTTCTAGGGCCAGTGGGCGGATAATAGGAAGGAGGAACGTTGTTGGCTTACGTTTGGCGTCCCACTACAATAGTTGACAAAAAATCAAAATTTTCAACAATTCATTCAGCAATCTACTCACAAACAGAATTTCCCAGACATCAACAAAATCACATCTATCCACATGGTTCACTAGGATAAAGCAATTGAGAATGCATAACTGTGAAGCCAATCCAGTAACTTTGGGCTTCAATCAGAAAAGCTAAGCAGGTAAATGAAGCTTGGACAAATAACGATACCTTCTTGATATCCCTTAATGCAAAAAGTCCTATGCAAACTTCTCCATTCACCATCCACTGTAGCAGTAAATTCAGAAGCAGAGTCAACAAAGCATCAAGTACATGAACTCAATAATTAAATAAAATGAAATATATGCAACAAACCATAGTAGCATATTAAGTTTTAGCCAACATGTCAAAAATGACATATGAACTGTATGTCATGTATATAACAAGAGAACTGACAAATTAATCACGTATGGAACATCACACAGCTTCCAAATAAGAGAGACAGATAAGGAGCAAGCCCACCCATCGTGGAGGAGGGGAGGTTGAAGAAGAAAGAGAGATGGAGAGAAACAATACTGCCAGTTGTTATGTTATGACATAAGCACGAAATGTACTGCTGCATCAAACCAACATTTTTCAATCAAGGACCTAAATGTGCTAGCACCTACACTTTCACACCCCTCCAACTACCTCAACCACTTCTCCAGAAATGCAGGAGATCCAACAACTCTAGCCAATTAAAACAATTTAGTAGTCCACATCAACTAAAAAAATCCTGCCATATTAAGATCTTTTACATAATAAATCTCCATCATTTCGTGCGGAAGTAATGAATAAGGATCTTACAAGATGAAAAGCATAAATAGTTGCATTTCAGTTTGTTTCTGGAATTTCATGAAATTAAGTCGCTAAATAATTTCCCCTAAAAATTTGGAAACATGTGTGCCCGCCCTTAAAGTAGTAATCATAAAATGAGGACCAAAAAGAGACCATTACATCATGTCAAGTCCCTATACATACCATCTTGTTTTTTCTCCCCAAGAGAAAACATACCAAAAAGGAATATTTTACAAAAAAAATAGCAGAACATCCATTTCCTACCAAATATCTATAAGCAAATAGTCAAATACCACCAAAGTAAACCGCGGCCATGGGTGCTTGAGCATCTGCTATATAAACTTATACATGCAGGCTTAAACAAAAAGCATACCATATGAACTTTCAGGTGAACCAAATGCCATTCATAGATGGGTGATTGCACAAACAAGAAGGGATGTACTACACCTATTAACCATATTTGGAGGCCTCATTATGCCTAATTAAAGAAAAATTGAACCTGATTCACAACTCAGACTTTCAGCCCCTCTCTAACCAGTGATTTCGCAGCAGAGGTAACAAGTTCTTGGCAAAACTAGTTTCAGGTGTCAATATACGTCCAAAGTTAGGCACCCAATACACAGCTTGAAAGAGTTAAAGCATCAGTTTCTACAATTGCAAAGATCAATACTGCCTCCGGGGTGTCTATATAGAAGATATGTAGATACACTATTTAGGTGTGATGTTTAGTATGCCAAAATAGAGTTTACTCTATATAACATCTGAAATCTAGATCAAGACTAACCCGGTGGATGGATGGTAAATCTCCCATATTGTTAAACTATCATTGCATATCTTTTTACTAAGTTTCTTGATTAGGGAGACTCCAGTGTGTGCTGCACGGAGTAGCCGGTGTCATATAATTGGCAAACAACAAACCAGTTGTGATCCGGGTGAATTTAAAAATAACTAGCAAAACCAAACCCAAATTAGCTCCACATATTCCAAGTCACAACTTGGGAGAACATCAGTGTACCTTAGCGGACAAATTGTTACTTCAGTTCCCAGCAATGTTTGCGTGTCTAAATCTGCCCAATGCCGATTTCCTGTAGTCAGTCACGCTGTTCATGGAAAAAGAGGCTCAACCAACCCAGAATGGCTGTTGTAGATGCCCATTCGTTTACTAACTCGTACAACGAGAATGCTTTTACCCAGTGGCGGAACCACTCAGTCACTTGTGGGGGCAACTGCCCTTACTCAACGTATTTTGGCCAACTTTTTCTTATATGTGTCGTTTTAGATTTTTAGCTTTGCCCCTTCAAAAGAATTGTCATGCACCTTAATCCACTTTAATCATCTCTCACACATGGGTTAAATTACTTACAGTCCAATTAAGTAACTTAAATAATGTTTAGTTGGTTGAATCCCCCCTGACATGTTTTCAAGAAATCATGCTGAAACTCGGTTGTTAATGCAGATATATTGAGAAAAATATCTTAATTACATTGACTACAAGATTATCACACAATGTTTTCAGAATATGAAATTAGTTAGCAATTATTGTAAATGTATTGAATAGAAGTGTTACCAATAAAGCTTGAGTCTTTAATTTATTAATAGCCCAACATTTTATCTAATTGTTGTCAAAGTTAGCCCCCACTGCAGCACATTTCTAACTCCGCCCCTGATTTTACCTAAACATGTAAGACACACACTTTCTACAAACCAATGTGCATGCTATGCCAATGACACAGCTTCCATTGCACATAGGTGACTAGGCATGTGGGCCAGGTACTAACACCGGCGTCACCCTGAGTTATACGGATACCGAGATAAATGCTACTTGAAAGGGTATTATATAAATCTAAGATTTACATATATCCATATCCTAAAGGCATATTGCTATGATTAATGAACATTGTTGGTCATGAGATGCTATATTGTTTGTTTAAAACTATTTTATTTTGACTCGGTTAAAGAATTGTACTTGCTAACAATTAGTGCTTTTCCTTACTAGGTTTAGAGATAGGGTTCCCAACAATATCAACTACAAGTAGTACTCAAAGGCTAGATCACACAGGTGCAGGTGCGGGTGCAGGAACGGGAGCGGGACCTCAAAAGCACAAAAATTCAAAAAAATCGGGGAGCAGGAGTGCCTTGAGAGCATCATACTATATACATATATACATGTTTACATAGATAAAAATTATAAAAAAAAACATTTTTAAAAGTTATATATTACACACAAATATATGATATATTATTTAAACTTTACTAGTAATTAATTTGACTTTTGAAATCCACATAAAAAAATATAATGAATATTTAAAGAAAAAACCAGGCATTGAAATGCCTTGTTCACTCAAGATATTGAATCCCACATCGACGCAAACTGAAATCTCGCAAACACACAATGCCTATAAATAGACTTCACCATGTTGGGTTTCAACAGCTGGATATTGGGCCTCAATTTTGGGGCTAAGTCCATCCGATTTTTTGAAGTTTTCTTGGCCCAAAGCTTATTTCATTGATTAGTTTAAAGCTTTTTGGTATTTGTGGAGTTGGCCTCGAAAGTGGCTAATCCGCAAACTACAAATATTGAATACGCAAATTTGATTTTTTGAATTCGCGAATTTGTGGCGAATTCGCTCTGAATTCACGAATTTGCACTTGGAACGCAAATTTGTTGAGGTATTGAGGCAAATCATGTGATCTAGCTTAGAGGTATATTAGGTAAAAAAAAGACAAGGTTACATATATACAATCTTTTATATAAACAAACAAAGTGTCCTTCCTATGTCCCATATTCTTGTTTTATTTTTTTGTATCTTAAAGTTTTGGCTTAATTTGTCGTATCAGTTTGTCTATATTATGCTGCATCATATGACACATCCATGTTCTCATGCCTCAAGGACCACTATTAGTGACCATTTTTGCAGCATTGTGTAGTTTCTTATCAGCCTTTGCAGAACTGAAAATACAACACTCTTCAAACAACAGTAGCATGAAAACTTTTCTTAATGAGTGATGCAAAATTATACAGGAAGAACTCCTCAATCTGAGAAAATTGAAAGAGCTGAATGCAAATAAAGAAGAAAATTAGTCTAGAGACAAAAGCAAGAGGCAACAAATCTACAACACCAGCCAACTATTCAAGAATAAGCCCAAAAACTCCAAGAAAGTGTGCTCTTGAAAGACGATCCATTCTAAATTGACGACAAAATATCCAAAGTATATAGAGGATGAGAGGCAAAAAAGAATCTTGAACTACATAGAAAAACCACGATAACAAGTATACTCACCTTTTCTGTACGGCAATTGGGGTCACAACTGTGGTTTATAAAACGTCCCAAATTCCCTTTCACACATGCATCTATTACCTGAAGAAGTGCAAAAAGTAAAACAACCAGACAACTGAAAAGAAAAATACCAACGTAAGTTTTCATGTTAATTTAAGGCAAGAACTTAAAAGACAAGAATTATTAAATAATTTTATCTTTTTATCTTTTTCACCCCGGAAATGGGAGGGGAGGGGAAGGAGGTTCGATTCTTAAAGGACGAAGATACAAACTAGGAAATGAAACCTATTATATCAAACTTATTTGAGGTACCATTGTATATAAATAAAAGAAGATTTTTGTCAGTAAAAGCTCAAGTTTAAGTATAAAACTCTAAGCAAAACCAACTGATAAAACATTAGGCTTATACATAGCTACTGGAGTGACTACATGGATATTGCCACCAAAGCATTTTACAGATTCTAAATATAATCACAAGAAAACAACGGGAGTTTGGCTGAGCTCTAAGATTCTCTCACAATCAATGGTTCAAGAGTTCCCATCAGTCAAAGTATCTTGCTAAAGGAAAAGAAGGGCAACTACGTCATTGAAAGTACATGATTCTACTCCTTTAGTTCCTTTTCCACATAAATATGGCTTGTATTTCATCAAAATTGCCTTGCAAGCCCAGGCCAACACAAGAAAAGGCTCACACAGCCTCAGCTTAGTTTGACAATAAAGCAAGTTTAATCTGCATAAAGCCAAGCCAAGTTACAAATGTCAAACACTCAACTCAGCTACCTCAGCTATACTGCCATCAATGAGGCATAAAGGAAACAAATCCAAACACAAGATGAGAATCAGCAAAATGTCGGTTTTACACTATTACAGGTGTTTTAGACAAACATAACGAGCTCTTTGACATCAAAGAACCAAACATAGTACAAGTAGTGATCTGGAAGTGGAAGCTTCTACCCACTACCCAAAGTGAAGCGATTCGCTTCACACTTGATAGAAGCACTAGTCTCAAACGCTAAAATAAAAACACCGTCCACTTTCCAGAAGTTTCCTGCCAATGAAGAAGATCCCACCAGTTCCCAAAATACCAAAGGAAAAAAAAACTAGACTCTCTAATACCCCTTCATAACCTTACCGTCTTACCTCTCTTCACCTATCCCAAAACTCACTCTAAATCACTAACATTAACGACTAAATACTTGAACTATCAAAGCAGCCCATCTAACACCCTGTAACATGATTTCTCCACTCAAAATTCAGTACCTTATGATAAGTAACAATAAACTGCACAAAAAATAGCACACACCTAGACAAAACATGCATCTCTCTGCTATCCGACTGTATCTGTGTGTGCGCATGTGTGCAAGCACAAGCGTGTGCTGACATGTGTATGTGTGTGTGTGGGAGACAAAGAAAAAAAAAAGATCCCTTTTTAACCAAAAAGTTGAATATTTTAGTGTCCAATTGAACCTCCCAGTACCAGCAACCATCCCTCCATATCCATAGTGTTCACTCAGTTGCAATAAATTCCACAGCTTGAGGTTATGATGTAACTTGAAACGAGGAACTTATAAAACTACTACAAAATTTGAAAGGGCATAATCATAACTTCAATCCATACCACTCACCAAATAGATAATATACATACAATATAATATGATTACTGTTCATGATAAACACGAAGTGGAGACTACCAAACCTCGTTGCCATTCAATGTCATGAAGTAAAAATGTTTATGGCCCTTTGAAGCATATTCTTTTTGTCGTGCCTCGTAAGCATGCATATCAAGCACCTATAAGAACCATAAATGGAAAAATTACCACTATAAGAAACCAGCTTCACAATGAAAGAGATGCATATCAGTAGTAAAAAATTAAAAGAAGAAAAACCCAAAAGAAACTAATTGAGAATATCAACAAAGGGATTAGAACACCCAATAGAGTTCATCTTGGACATTAGGAATGGTAGTGGACCGGGTAAAAATGGGTATTCCTCCAAATCTGCCCCGTTTGGATCGGAGATAGACTATAGTATTGAACGGTGAACGTATACAGGAATACCCGTATAAACCCGTGCAAGGATGACGGCAGAGATGGACCGACACTTACCCCCACCCCCACCTCACTTTACCCATTATTATTATTATTATTATTTTATATATATACATGTTGGTGTAAATACAAATCTTCACATTAGTGAATGATTTTTTCTTTTAGAAATTATTTTATTTTTTGATTTTTTTTCATATTTTTTACTTATAAAAGTGTAGATCTTTGTTTTTTTATGTCGGATTATATTATATTACATTATGTTGTGTTGCATGATGTTGTATTGGATTTACATGGGAGATAAGCTTTTAATTATATTATGTTGAATTATGTTGTAGATAAAGATTTTAATTATACTATGCTGGATTATCTTGTAGAGGACAAGTTTTTAATTATGTTATGATATTTTATAATTACGTTAAATTATTTAGAATGTTAAATTTATTTAAAATTTTGGATTATGTTGGCTTGGGCTTGGGCTTGGGTAAGGTAGATTGGGGCTAGGGCTAGGGCTAGGGCAAGGGCAAGGGCAAGGGCAAGGGCGGGGATAGAGTGGGGCTGGGGCGAGTAAGGTAGACGGGGGCTAGGGCGAGGGTAAAGACGGGGCGGAGATTAAAAATTTACCCAGGGATAAGGATGGAAATTATACCCGTTAACGGGAGTGAACCGGGGGATGGACGAAATTTTTTTAAGCGGTTACGGGGATGGAGACTACACCCTCCGCCCCCACTTCGGTCCACTGCCATCCCTATTGGACATTGTTCAGGGTATTGCCAACTAATGCAAAGTATTTTTCTTCCAAGGGTAGCCAATTTATGGATAAATTTCTCTCAATTGGTTTCCCAAAAGAAAGAGAGGAAAAATCCATACATGTGAAATATCCTCCTTGTACAACAGCATCATAGAAATCAAGTCGGCTAAAACTTCAATAAATTGACAAATAATATTATCCAAAAACATTTCCATCCATTTTAAAAGAAGATGGACATCACCTAACACCCATGATGCAGCATAGCATGACCAATCCTTACAAAAATATTCTGTATTTTGGGATAGTAGATTTTTAAAAATAGCACAAAAATGACTCCAAATTTTGAAATCAGCCTCAAAGTCTATCTTTTATTGTTGCCTCAGTTCCTACGTCCAATACTTAGTGTTAAGATACAAGCGGTATTTTAAAGAAACGAGACAACTTACCTCTCCAACGTATTCAATGAGAAATTGTCCTTTAGAGATATCTTCTAGCAACTGCAACCCAAAACCCTTCTTTCCACATCTGAACCACTTCAATTTGGCATACTTGCGTTTCTGGAACTGAAGTTATACAGAATTAATAACCTTTAATACAAAATGATTGTGATAAATCCAACAAATAAATCACCAATCTGGCAGAGAGCCTGATGTACCTGTTGATTTGAGCAAAATTTTCCACATGGGCAGGCCCTTTGAACACATTCAATATTAAGCATCCGATTTAGGCATCCATCCCCACAACCCATTCGGCCATCTGAAGGTGGTTTGCAATGGCAAACCATTATCTAGTACGAACGAATCAAACACATGCAATAAACAAAAGAGTTCACGATTAAAAGCAATTGAACTTTCGTATTAAAAGGCAAACCAACTGCATCACATCATCCATAATATCATTAGCAAAGATCTCAACTGCCACTCAACTCACGCACACAGACACACACAAAGATGTCAATCTTCTTTGAATCTCAATTCTAAAGCACGAAATTGTCCAAAATCACAGCGAATGTGGTATTGTAATAGTATCAAGACTAATGTTTTATGCATATGGCATACTAGTTAGCAAACCTTTAAAAACTAATACATGTTTCAACTTTCAACCCAAGTTCATACATTTTCAGTGTTCAAAGGGTGTTTAATTATTGAAACCTTTACAGATAATAAAGTCCCAAGTTGAAATAATAGTTGCTCTTACATTTCATTTTTTGGTTGGTACAATTCAAGTTAAGATCACAACTCAAATTAAAAAAACATATACATAATTGACCGATGGTAAAAAACAGATGAAGTGCTAAAAAATAATAGTAAACCTTGAAAATATATCATTGCAATAAAACAAAGCCTATTGAAGCCCTTCAACCCATAAACACGTGTAATCCCATCTCCAACAGAGACCAATCTCATCAACTTGAACATTTGTGTAAAAGGATAAAATTCCATGGTTTATTGATATAGTCAAGGGATAATACCACTTTGATCATGGAAAGAGAAAACTAATTATGTCCAATGTCCTCTAATTCAACGATACACATCAATTTTTGGAAATAAAGAGGAACTTCCCCGGGCTCTTTTCCTATAGGTATTTAAGGAAGATCTTGTCTACCATGGACAAATATGTCAAAAAGGTCATCCTCTAGTTAGGTCGCCTTCAATCGAGAACGTTAGGATAGGTGGACAGGATACAAACATAGCATTTGACATGATTTGCACAAAGTGGTCGTTCCCATATTCCAACACAAACTCTGAGATGCCTACCCAACACTTGTACCGCAGTACCGCAGCACTGACCAATGACCCCTTTTACTATGGACAACTTCGTCAACTTTTATAGGAGCTTAGGGGTTAGTTGTACATAGCTTTTTAGACTTAAGATCTCACTTTGTATCTAGTACAGGTTTTTGTTCGATTGTTTTTTCTCTTCCATAATTTGTACTAATGTTGCATCACCTTGGCGCTCCAAGCGATAGTTTTGTTGCTTTGGCAATTAGGTCACACACATCAAAGAAGGGGGAAAGGGGTAGCATGTACGGTTTTGGGGGACAAAGGGATTAATTACAAACAAAACTGCAAAGTTGCATTGGAACAAGTTAATAACTACTTTTCTCACCTTCCCCAAATTATTTGGTGCTTAAAACTATATTCCGAAAGGCAGTATTTCAATCCTCGCCAAGTATCCTGCTACAAGTAGGATCCAAACTCCAAATAAACACCTTTTTTGTAGTTATAACTATGTGCTGAAGTATATAGTCTTTTCACCATTATAAAATAACTTTTTCGGTTTTCAACCTCTTCACTCCATTGTCCCATTGGAGAAATTCCAACTTGCCAATCTCTTTGACATATTTGCAAGCATTTATGAGCCATAAACATGTTCGCAATAGCACAACATGCACAACCACTATGTAGGAGCATCTGTGCTACTAAAGTCTAAAACAACTTCTTTGCCATTGATTTTATTGTAATGGAAGGATCAAGTTTATCCTATATTTACTGAAAAACTGCATCTAATACAACTAATAATAGAATTAGATCATGAGTCATGAGTCACAAAACCAGCAATTTAAATTCGGTCAGACATTAACCTCATCAATGGTTTGACTTTTGCGGCTCCGACTTAGAAACAAATTTGATTTGATAAGCATCCAAGATGACTTCTGAACAACTGCAACGCAGTTAAATAGTGTCAAAGTCCACAGCAAGGAAGACATGTATATCACACAAGGGCCAAGCAAAATTCAAGCTCAAATGTAATGGTATTGCCATCTATCAATGGCACAAATCAAATACCTGTTGACTGCTTTTGTCCCAATCTATTAGAATTAATGCGTGTATCACGAGCATCTTCATCACAAGAGGCATCTGATATTTCTAACTCTGCATTAATATCTGCATTTGACTTCTCTTGAGGGATTGAGCAGTCAGCAAAGTCTTTATCCATGTTATCCTTACAAGTCCTTTAATAAGAATCACATACCACACTATAAGTTACCGACGACATACACTGTTGGGCATCAAATCTCCCAAATCTAGATACAAATGGAGATATTGTGTTTGAAGAAATTAGCCCACCAGGGCCCATTAAAGCTCAATCTTTCATCTTTTTTATTTACAACATTATAACAAGAAATACTTAGATACAGTTTACCTATAAAAAGAACATAGAGTTGTAAGTGATATTGGTCAAGTTAAGTTTATCAACCCAAGATACCCTGATGTAAAAATTTTTGCCCAAACTTACCCTTCATCCACTTAGGCTGTAACATCCAACCTGACCAAAAAGCTTACCTAAGCCCTAAATGCCTGTCAGTATCAAACCCTTTTTATTGGTGGATTAACCCAAAGAAAGTGAAAATTCTAAAACATTCTCAACTCAATGGGAACACATGACCATCCCCACTGCTTATATCCGATGTATGGGGCCAGTACTGAAAGGATTAGCTCATAATTGTTGCACTGTCGATGTACTATTCCTTTTCAACTTTGGTAACCCAGAAAAATTGATGTTCCACTCCATTGTTCAAATGTATAGACATTTCCCATTCTCCCATAAGAAGAGGATATGATGAGCTTTCACAAAGCTGAGAACCAGCTAGGATTTGATTTTATGAAGAGGTTAGATTTGTTTGTCTGCAATTATACAAAATATTCCTTTTGAGGAAGTCAGGTAATTTAATAGAGTGAAAATCAAATGCACATTCAATACTCTTCATAAAGATGACCCCAAATAGTTGAGATAAAGATTCGATGAGTTGAGCATTTATTAAAGAAAATCTATTATCCTCCCATCTTACATAATTTTGAAGGTCAACTATAAAGCTTAAACCCTCCCAGTCCCCCCAATCAAGTAAGCCATTTGTAGCTGAGTTCAATGGGTGGCAGTATACAAATTTCTGAGGAACATTCCACGTAGAATGTGATACAGCAGAGAGGAGGTTTTAATTTATTTGTTCAATGACATATGTATCAGTTGAACATATGAGAGAGATCTGGAAAAGAAAGATGGAAATCCCTTCTCATTTGCACTATAATTCCTAATGAAGAAGAGTTTTCCACTCCTGGCGTCTTGTTTTCCTGGTACTCCTTTTTAACAGCTGAAATATCATTCTTCAGCTAAAACAATCCGACACTCAGGCATAAAAGTCTTCTTGAAGGAATAGACACTTCAAGCTTATCCCAACGTGTACCTTGGGTTTTCTAAACAAGAGGTCGGGTTGTCCTTTTCATTTTCCTAATTTTTCAAAAGTGTTCCCTAAATTCCAATATGTTCTCTTTTCTCATTTTTCTTTTGCCAAGGACACAGAGGGACTTCTTTTATATATCTATACAATAAAACACTGGCTTATATTACAACTTAAATTTTAACCTTATACAACAATAACTCAACCTACTTAAATTTAACCTTTTAACGGTGATTAAAAAAAGGGAAAACCCTAGTGTATATATAAGGCAAATGAAACCTCAGCCTATTTAAATTTAACCTTTTAACCACAATAAAAACAACGTATTTTGCATGGGGACACCCTAGTACATATATATAAGGCAAATGAAACCTTTGGAAAGGCTTTATGAAAATGTTCATACACTTTCAAGAATCGATACGTGAGATAGCTTACAAAAACCTTCCAATTTGGCAAAAATTGGAACTTATATTAATAGTAACAAATAACTAGCAAGACATGAGTTAGCTTACAAAAACCTGACAATTTTGGAAAATATTGGAACTTATATTAATTAACATCCGAATCCGACATCCAAAAAAATTTATAGGGGAACTCAATTAGCCAAAGATAGAACAGGTACTATCCCTATAATTCAGACTCCTACTCCATCCCAGTTATAGGCTGGTCTTCCTAAGCGACCACCATTTTCACCATGCTGCTAACAATTAGTATGAAAAGCAATATATTAATGTTTCATATGCCTCTGCCCATGCATCATGGACACCGGTATGTGTTTGGCCAAAGTATGGCAAACATGGTGTCCATCATTAAGAGGCTGTTGATTAAGATGTCAAGAGCAAAAAACTTTCCCATCTTCTATTCCATTAATCCCTTTCAGAGATAAGCCACCTCAAACAAGTTGACAAGATATGCAAATTGCAGTTTCTGTATCTATAGCACAGTTCTATACTATAGCACATTTGTAAAACTCAAGTAAGTAGGCATCATAATATACCATCTGCAATTTGTTTCTCCAATGGAATCCGCAAGTGTAGCTGGTATACGCCTCCATTTACAGCAGGCATCACAAAGTACCCAAGCATTCCGTGGGATTGTATATTGCTCTGCTATACTACATTGCACCACGTCCAAATTACAAATGTCTCCAGTTGAACTTGTCTTCACAATTTTAGTGTCCGCAAGATCATCTGATGTGTGATTTCCTACAAAATGAATTCACTTAAAAGCACTTCCATAAAGAAATGCTGAAAACTGTGAAACAACACAAATATCAAAGGATGTGATAATTAGTATAAAAATATATTTGAGCTTATTCATCTGCTCCAGACTATTCACACCTGTTTCTGGCTGCCCTTCCACTTTGCAAACCGCTTGACTAGTATCATCCTTCTCCAAGACTTTATGCTTACTAACTAGCTTTGCTGGATTCTTCTTTTGTTTACGAGCATTTCCTCTGCTGCTTGCTGAATCAGGGAGGTCTGACCTGCAATTGGCCGTGCCCCATGATCTTAAGCTGTTGGGAAGTTTTCGACCCCCGGGATTACTACTAGGGGGCAACTTATCAGATATCTGTGACTCTGATGACTCAAGCCCAACACCAATCCTGGAACAAAGATCAACTTTTGTACCATTTTCAACTTTCAGAGTCTCACATGAGGCTCCCAGATCGGTCACTCTTGACTGCTGCAGCGATTTCCTAGAAAAATTTTCACTGCTCGATGTGTTTCCAGAAGCATTCTCAGTCGAAGTTGAAATTGAAGCCTCACTACAGCAAGAGCCATCTCCCATTTTCTCTAGCAGTCTGTGTTCATCAACCACTTCGGCACTGTTTATGACCTTGGGACTCAATAGTTTACCTTCAACACTGCAATTACCTGCCTGATGGAGCTTATCTTGCTTATTTCCTTTCTTACTGCTCATCTGTGATGGACTGAAACTTGTAACATCACCAGAAGCATCATATTCCTGGGAGGAAATTAACACATCATGCAAATCTCCAACAGTTTTTCCACTGATTTGTGCATCTGTAACCATGTTGATGACCTCAGAATCAGGTGAAGTTCCAGTATCCAAGCAACTGTTGTCAAGGGTTACTACCAATTCTTCAACCTCTTCCTGGGAGGGTAATCCATGATTATTATCTGCAATGTTTCCAGCTGACTTATTGACAACATTCTTATCTGCAAGGCATACATCTGAAACAGAAGCATCTGACAACAATACTGTCTTCTCCAGGTTAACATTACAACAGGGGAACCCTGAAAGCTTGGGCACCTCTTCCTCCAATTTATCTTCAATGCCCTCAATCAATTTGGGACATGCAATCCCAGTAGCATAATATTCTTCATGAACATTATCAATAACAGGAATCACATCCATCAGGCAATTTTGATATGCTTCTTTCCCCAGTTTGATCTTCAAACGGATGCGACCAGTTGAAGCACAGTTTTTTCCACTAGACCTCTGAGGGCACCGAACTGTCTGATTCTTGTCCTGCTTTACGCCTCCCGGACCACTCCTATCTTTTTGTGATTTTTTTTTCTTATCAAGATCATTGAGCCCAGTATTCTGCTCAAAAACATGTGCAATACTCCCCAACGATCCCCATGCAGACGAATGAGCTGTTCTGGAGATACAGCTTCTTCTCTTTCTTGCGACCTTCAAGGAAACAACTTCTAATACTGCTTTCTTGTTAGCTGTTCTCCTGCAATTTCTGGCATCTTTTTTGGCCCGAGTGTTCTGTTTCAATCTACCCATGCTCATACCCCTATTTCGATAAGATGAACATTTAGTACTAGAAAATTTTCTCTCAAAATCATCATCCACTGTATCAATATCTTTCACTTCATTATCTCTTTGACCAGACAACTCAGTTATGTGGACACAATTGAAAGCACTATCAAGAACATCGGTGCCTGAAACATCTGGCGCAACCAAACTCTTAGAAAAATCGGTATTAATTACACAAAAGGGCTCACATGATTTCAAAGAGACTGATAATTTTTCCACTGCACAGCTAGGATCCATGGCAGATGATCCTTCCTTATAATCGGGAACATTTTCTTCCAAAGATGAAAAATTTTCCACTGCACATTCAGGATCCATTGTACATGACACTTCCTTGTAATCAAAGAGATTAGCTTCTATGGGTGCCACTTGGGGGAGCATGTCAACCTTTAACCAGGTTGTTAAATAAGAACAACTCCTCAAAATGCTACAACCCTATACCAAAAGAAGCACACATACAAAGGCGCCAGCCTGAGAGACTTCCAAGACAAACCTCTGAAATGATCAAGTAATAGATTTGAGATAAGCAGTCTATGTCTACTCCCAAAAACAACAAACTACTGATACGTGATATTGTGTGATACTAAATGGATTTTCTTTGTGGAAGTAAGGAGGGACGGGGGGATTAGACATGAAAAAACACAAATGTTTACATAGAGTAATAGAGTACAATATACCAACTACATCATAATTGTACCTACCACAAATACGTTATAAACACCAAAAAGCAAACTGAATATAACTTTACAAGCAAAACTAAAATGCATTTTATCAACTAAGTTTACGCAATCTGTACAACAGATTTAAATTGTCGTATACATATAGATTCACTATGAAACATGGATACTCCGTGTAATAATAATAAAGTATTTCTATATTTTTTTATATGTATTGGATACTTACTATACGTATCCTATACTTAATAAAACACTTATTTACTTATGAATATGTCTCGGATATGGGTACCCAAGTGGAATATCCTTTGGAAAATGGATACCCAAAGCAATATGTGACTTTAAATTTTATTCTTTACCATTTCCTCGCAAATTCAAATACAATGATACAAAAAGAAAAATCCATATGGCTTTGAAGATAGATTGATGTTTTTAACTATATCTACTATCACTTATCAAAGGACATAAAAGAAGTTAATTACACTATATCTCTTAGCACAGGTACATCTAAGCAAACAAGCTACATAAATGTTGATTCTAGTTCCTACAATTAGTCGGGTTCACTTTGTGAGTATACAATAATCAATCTATGCTTACTTGAAATATTAATTGTTATTAAAAAATTATTTATAAATTTCAAACTAATAATTAGATGATAGTATCATTATCCATATTGTATCGTACTCGTGTCCTATCCCCGTATCTCTGCTTCAAATTCAAATTGGAAACACATAAATGGAGCATAAAATCTTCTATGGTATAACTGTTATATCTTAACCCAAATATGCTATTGATATAAACTTAGTTTGAAGGTATTTTTGAATCTAACCTTAAAGGCATTCATGAGAATAATCCCATGGAGCAACAAGAAAAGATGTGCCCCTTCTGTTCCAACTCGTAAATATTAATTTTCTATCTTTAGATCTAATTAACGCCTCAGTTCAGGGAAAAAAAATGTAATTAACGCCCCCTGGCATCCCAGACCCTATCACATATACATGGAGAGAGAGAGAGAGAAGCTAACCTGTCACACACAGAGAGAATGCCGATGGTCAGCAAAAGTGCGCTAGAATCATCACAAAGAGTTCACGCTCAACTAATCCAATCTAATCGGACTAAACCCAGAAGAACAAGACCCCCCAATTTTTTTCCGTGAGTAAAACCCCCAATTTTCACCGATTCCCAGGCCAATGCCGATACATATATGTGAGTGCGCGTGTTGTATGCGTATCTCTAGGAGTTCTCAGAAACATCAAATTCAAGAAAATAGGAAAAACCTAGAGCTTCCCTCAGCAAAAAACGAAAACCCTAATATCAAAGATAGCACACCAATGCCTATAACATATAGAAACACGTATATTGAAATATACACATTGACATATACACACAAACAAAAAAATCTACAAAAACGAATGGAAGTAACCGAGAGATCATACCTGATTAACAAAAAGAAGAGGAGAGAGAAAAAAATTTGAGTCGTCGAAATCACCAGAAAATAGTTTGAGGTTCTAGAGAGAGAGACAGAGACAGAGACAGAGATCGCTTGGCGCTGTGAACAAAACGGTTTTCAAGGGAAAATAGAGGTCTCCGACCGAAACAGGGAGCGTTTATCTATTTGACACACACATACACTGAGTAATGCATAGACTGACTCGGTTGGTGGGTTTGACTCGTACGAGTCTCATATGCTGACAATTCGGTATCTGATTGACATGTGGCAAGGGAGGATATTTTGGAAATTTTGCATGGTGGTTTTGTATTCGTTAATGGATTTTATGATTGTAATATGGCTACGTAGATTGTGTGTATTTATGTATAGACATGGAGAAGATGATTTATGGTATGATATAAGTTGGGATAGGGGCATATATGTTTACTTGGTGAGCAAGGATATAAAAGGCTTAGGGATCAAATATGTTGAGTTGGTGAGCAAGGTGGCTAGGTCTTTTTTGTTTTAATTGAATTTGAAATTCAGCCCAAAATAAAATTTTCAAATGTCTTATGTGGCGACACACACACACACACACACACACACACACACACACACACATATATATATATATATAT